GTCTGCTGATGTTCGTAGGGGGTGGGGGACCACCACCTGAGGGGAGGCACAGGGATTGGTCCTGTTGGCATGGTCCCTGATGCTACGGCCTGTCCCCTAGCCGGTATCGCCCACCTGCAGGTTGGGAGCAGCCCCCGCATGTTCTCTCGTGTTCTGGCTGCTATGGGGTTCCCCGTATGCCTACAATTAATTAGGAGTAGTGGTAGGTAGGTAGTGTGAGGTGAATTTGAGAGAAGAACATAGCTTGTAAAACAAAAACAAAAACAAAAAAAACAAAAAAACAAAAAAACAAAAAAAAAACGAAACGTTTCCGTGAGGTTGCTCTTGACGCAACCCACGCGATTGCTTGCCGTCTACCGGCTGGTAAGGCACTGCTACCATCTTTCCCCGAATACAACGAATGGTCATTATAGCTGCATTTGGGGTATCTTTCAGTCTAAATACAGCTATAGTGACGGTAGTAGTACTCAGGGGATCTTGGGTTCAATCCTTAGTGGCATCATATAACTTAGTCCACAAGCTTCACACCCGCCACCTACCTAGTACAGATATCTCATCAGTCCCCCCGAGCGGCATTGAGCACTGACTGCGGATGTCCGTAAGGGGGAGAGGACCGGAGAGGAGGGGCAGCAACTGGCCCATCGAAGGAGCTCGGTCCTGACGCTACCGCCTGACCTGTGGCCTGTATTGCCCACCTCCAGATTGGGTGCAGCCCCTGCATGTTCCCTCATTTGGGGCGTGAACTCTGGTTGGCAGCTACAACATTCCCCCATAATACTAAAATGACAAATAAAAAAGACCCGAAAGGCTGTCCTGTCCAGATTTGACAGGTACCTGAATTGGTTGGGCCTATAGGAAGCCTTGAGACATAGCCCCTGGTATATCCCCTGACTGCAAACGTTTTAGGGTGCACACTTCCGCCTATAGGAAGCCCTCAGTGTCTTTAGAATAGGGTCAAAATAGGTAGATTATCGCCCTTGGAAGGTTTTTCTCCACAACTTTGCAGTAGGACCTCCCACCCAATGATCACGTCGGGTTAGGTTGTCTCCGTCGACATGGGGCTGTAATTTTGGTTTTTCGAGCCCATCGCTATTCGCAGGTGTTGTCCTTGATGGGCTCCGACGGATAGGGCACGTTGGTCAATCAAGTCCCTTCGTTTTTGCAGTTTTCCGAATTATCCTTGTACGTTGTTGTGATTTTCATTTAGGATTTATGCACGCCTTAGCGAGCACGCTCAAAATTCTTTTTCTTCCAGGTTCTTCGAATTCCAGAAATCACGGGTGCCTATTGGGATACTTTGCAACAAATCCTTTCTTTGTGTATGTAAATTTTGAAGACGTCCCTGCAAGCGCTATGAAACTTTTGTTGATGGATAATAGAACAGGAATCAGCATAGGAATTTGTGCGCCTTAGCACTCGCAAGCGGAATTTTCTTTCAAACTTTTCAATTTCAATTTGACTTAAGAAATTAGATGCAACTTCACTCGCATTTCTCATAACTGTTTTGGTGTCTTTTTGATGTACGTGAATGCTTCCCTATGCGCCTCGCGTTTGCATACAATCTTTCCTCAGTCCTCAAGCCCCTTTCCTTGCGTCGTCATCAGGAAATTGTAACTGTCTTCTTCTCACTCCCTTTGCACTCTTTCTTTCTTCTTGATCCCGTTAAACCTTGGTTTTTCCTCATACTCCTGTAGCCTCCTTTCCCGCCTTTTACACGAGAGAAGATCCTGCTGATCCCCCAAGTAATCGTAGAATTCGGACGACAGCATGTATGGAGGCTCTGAACTCCTCACTATGCGATCTAATTGGACACGAAGTACTTTCAGCAGATTAACATGGCCCTCCCACATGCTCCCCCTTCTCTCCTCACTGCCCTCTCCTATCTCCCATCATCACCCTCTTTTCGTCTTTCTCACACTATAAATTCTGCAAGTGCACCATTTTTGCTCTCTCACAATGCACTTACCAACTCTGTTGAGTAGTGGCTAGATGAGGTGGTGATCCGCGAGTTGAAAAGTCGTGATGAGTGGGCTGCAACTTTGCGGGATTGATGCTGGTCGCTGCAACAGACTGCATGATTGAGTGGACAGGGTGATGATCGTTGATGTTTAACACTGAGTACATGGTGACTAGGATCATTAATGCTCGATCGAGGTGTGTTGATGGTTGGCTGACTTCAAGTTGGGGCCGTAGCTCGAGAACGAAAAGTTTATTTTTTGTCCTCTTCTTCCTCGTCGTCTTAGAGTTGCATGGCGATACGACAATTTCCCCCCCCCAATCAAACGAGTGTATATTTTCTCTCTTCCTCTCACTCTTTCCATTTGGAAAAATGTATGAGCAAATGGTGGTTGTGTGTGCATGACTTATGACGACTCCATATGTATAACTGCGTAAAAGTGTCTTCGAGTCTTGCCACTCACCCTGTTCTCTTTGTTTTCTGAATCCAATTGGACGAGGATCTTCAAAACGTGAGCGCTGAGGGAGGCTGTATAGTTGGATGAATGTTTTTATCAAATGCAGATGTATTTTCTCTTTTTCACAATTATTTTCAAAATGAATGCATGGATGGGTAGATGACGGTTATATATATATATATATATATATATATATATATATATATATCGTCACAAATATATATATATATATATATATATATATATATATATATATATATACAAATAGAACTGCCCGGTAAACCGTAGGCAGAGAGAGAGAAAAGGACAACAAACGAGGGGCTGTGATAATATATATATATATATATATATATATGTATATATATATATATATATGTATATATATATATATATATATTATCAAATAGAAATATATATATCGTCAAATAGAACTGTCCGGTAAACCATAGGCAGAGAGGGAGAAGAGGACAACAAACGAGTATGTATATATATATACAGGGTTGCTGGCGTTCGCGATGGGCCGAACGCCCGAACCCGAAGGCCCGAACATACGGGACCCCT